CAAACAGCTGCATGACTGGAAAGCGGTCCAATTTGTGATGGTTCCCAGTTGAACAAAGGAGGACGTTTTGCCGTGATTGTATCACGGATGTGGACTCCCGGACGTGAAGACGTCCTGCGGTAGGGGCTCGCAGGCAGCCGTTACCCCGCGATACGATCACGGACCTGGGATCCGGGTGTGGATGTCGCCCCGCCCGATGTCGAGGAACGCCCCCGTCTCCCGAGTCCGCGCCCCACACGGCAACAACCGGCTTCCAGCAGCATCCCAGGACGCACCCCGACCCTCACGACACGAAGCCGATGGCGCGCGGTCGACAAACTTGGTGGCACAGGCTTCCCAGCATGGTCTCAAGGAATGTTCATGTGGTACAGTATCTTTTGAATGAGTCATTCGTGTTGTGCGTAGACAATTGCTAATGCATGACATCCCCTTTCATCCTAGGCAAGATCACGTGGGTCTCTATGTGGGCAGGCTTTGTCTCCCACAAATTGGGAACAATAGATTAAATAAAGCGGATCTTTCAGATACTTCGTCAACGCGGAACATGGGCGGCAGTCAGCCGGAAGTTTGATTTGTCCTGTCCGTTACTTGGACCGCTGGACACCAAAAGGATGCCGCTTGTTTATTTACCGCATCGTCGTCTCGAGCGCTTGGCCCATCTCTATAGACGTAGACAGGCGCTGGTGGCTGAAAACATGTCAACCTTTGTGATGGCTAGTGCAGCAGTATCGACAACGTTATACAGCACAGGATGTTTTGATATCAGACGCTGTGGCGTATGAGCAAAATAGCCATAATGGATAAAGTAATGCTGCTTGCCGAGCAGTGTCGTCTTCAGCGAGTGGTGGTGACGTCATTAGTGGGTGGTGGTGACGTAGTTCAGCGCGCGTGTGTACTGAAGTTCAATGTCTGTCTCGCGCCGTTCACCAAGAAAATAGCCCAGACTATGTCATTAGTCCCAACATAACCTTGAAACACGACAGACATTCCAGAGCAGACAGGTGTCGCTGAGGAACGACTATCGCGCGTCCTCGACCAAGATAACGTCTGGACGTTCGACGTACTTTTTGCATGTTGAAGAAGCGATGGCGCTCTCACTTCAGACTGGATGGACTTGAGTGGCACGTGGCGCCTGCAAATGGGCACAAACGACGCTGAAAGTGTGCCAGACTGGCATTTCGTGCGTGCTGGGCAGTTCGAATCACTGCCAGTGGTCAAACCCAGCCATATACGGCGACTCTTTTAGGATATCTCGTCCGTACAGGGCAGTCAAACCGCATATTCGGATGTGTCAAGGCCTTCTTTGACTATAAACGGTACACATGCAGCAACTTAAATGAAAACGCGTCAAAGTCAATCGAGGGAAATGCGGCGGCGATCTGACGTGGACGGTTGGAGGCGGACAGTATTACACTCCGCGAACCGGCGTACAGAGTGACCTGCGACAGCGATCTGAGGTGGACGATTGGAGGCGGACAATATTACACTCCGCGAACCGGCGTACAGAGTGACCTGCGACAGCGATCTGAGGTGGACGATTGGAGGCGGACAAATGACACTCCGCGAACCGGCGTACAGAGTGACCTGCGACAGCGATCGGAGGTGGACGATTCCACACGACTGCGAACCGGGGTATAGAATGACCTGTGACAGCGAACTGGGCCTGACGATTTCACACGACCGCGAACGGGTACAAACACGCCCCTGGCTAGAGCTGGCTAGCATACGCCTCGTCGGGTGCACGCCTGCGATTACGAGCGAGCGGGTCCCCCAGAGACGCAACGGAGCGACCCCGAACCAGCCACCGGAGAGGAGCTCATGCATGATCACCGCGGAATAATGAGGGCTGGGACGGAATGGAATTTGCTGTCCGTGGATCTCTCTGTTGGCTGGATTGCTGGCAGTTTTACCGTGGATAGTGTCCTGAGAAGCAGGCAAAATCCGGGTTTGGTGGTTCAGTTTAGCCACTTACGAAGCTACATTCAGCTGGAATGATGAGATTGTCGACGCGATTTCTTAGCTGCCGAAATTCGGGAGCTAGGATTTGTGACAAATCAAAGGACAGGTGTCTGACATTGTTGATACAGATGGGGCTTTGCAATGCGTGAATACTGTTCCTCATTGCCATGCCATGTATTTAGCAGTGATCAGGGCTCTGGAGTGTTTTTAATGCCCTGCTTTTGGCTTCCTGAAGCACTCACTGCGTTTGCTTGCTTGCTGAGCAATTTCTCCCAGTTGATGGTTCTTACCAGTTGATTGCCGTACCACTGTTCTTGTCTTGCACCCATACAGGAGAATATTAAACTATTACCTCGTTATATCTGCTTTCGCAACACTCCTCCCCCGCTATACGCTGCGCGTCTTGGCAGCCAATGCTTTTCAAAGTTCATTTTCCCACGCATTGGCGTTACCGATGGTCTTACATCACCCGATGTCAGTACCTGTGTAACTGTGGACCGGTACTAATGTGCCTGTCCTGTCAGCTTCATGGCTTCTGCCACATGAACCATGCGCTTCTGGGCTGATATAAGGTAACCTGAGTTTTGTTTGTTTTTGCGGCGTGATAACGTTGCAAGTTCCTGTCGTTTTATGCTCCGGCAGGGGGGGGGGGGGGGGTAACCGATTCCAGATTGACACGCAGCAACTCATCGGCTGTAGTTGTCCCTGTTAACACGAGCCGCATACCCAGCATATTCACGCCTCGGTCAAATTAGGTCTGAGTCAGCGTAGCGTGCCCTCGTGGAAGTAGTTTGTTTCATCGGCCACTGGGCTCGCTCGCGGTGTGTCAGTCGCGGAACATTTTCGTCGTGCTCACTTTATAAAATTGGTTGAGGGGCTAAGCCAATTAAGTTGGCTTACCCCGCCCCAAGATCCTGATGACTCCCGGATTTCAGCCACTTTAATGGGCGCGTCCGACGTCAAATTTGAAATACAATGGTTTGATCGGCTACAAAATCGGTTTGATGCTGAAGAACGACTTCCCTTTTGAAGATAATGTGATAATGACAATGAGAAAACATGAAGATGGTTGTATTGATAGTGATGTGTGTTTGGGTGCCTAGTGTACCAGCAGTTTAGATACCTCATGCATTTGATTGACCTAGTATTCCCCATTTTGCTCATATGCATTTGGGAGGGACTCAAAAAAGCATTGACTGGCCTCAAAGTCAGCGTAGGGGGCTCAGCATCCCCAAAAGTACACAAGTGACACCGTTGTTGGTGTTGTTGGATACACCCAAAGTTGTCATGTATTGTTCTCGTTATCTTTGTTGTTAATTGTGAAAGTTTTGTAGATAAGAAAGAAAACAAATGTGGGGTCACATACACAGAAGATAATGGAAGCTTTACAAAAGTACATATTTCTTCAATTTTTGGTGCCCTACCGTCTGGAGGCTACCTACTTTCTTGAACTACTCGCTGTTTCCCCGACATGGTCCATGTATGGAATGCATGTGCCATGTGTAGTTTTCATTGCGCGTTTTAGAAAGGTACTCCGTTTTTAAAACAATGGATTTGATTGTTAGCGTACCCAATACATTTTTTTTTTTGATTTTCTGTGAAATGGTTGGTATGGTGGTGTGAATGAACGAATTGGATGCTGTAAAATATTAGGACAGTGTAAATGAGTCTGTTTACGATGTCAGGTCAGCGTAATCAAGCGGGGTCATTGTTTTAAAAGCAAAGTGTTTGTCATCTTTAAGCCCTACAGTCTATGATCAATCAGTGTGTCAGTGGCTATTTGTAGATGTTTGTTTTTGTATGTTGTAACAAATATTTGCCTGCTGTATGGTCTTTGTTGAAAACGAAACTTACCCCTGGACACCTGAAATGGACCACACGGCTCAATATCTCATAGCATGGCTTGTATCTCCACACGGTTCATGTATCATAGGCATCTTATATCTTACAACATATCTCAGGCAAGGCAACGAGATAAACTGGGAATGGGTTCTCATACTGGATACTGTTTGGTAGCCCGATGGCAGATTCCTCTGGTGGATGTTGCAGTGCGGGCGGGGAAGGGGAGATGGTTTTGGCGACAGGGTGTCAACCGCGCGGTATGTTGGCATGAGTACACTACAACGTTGCAGCTGCATTGATGAATGTTCTCAATCAAAGCCGTTTTTTGCATGAACGCCCAAAACAGGTCAACACGCTCTTGCTTGGGATAGCAGTTCCTCGACCACCCTTCCGTTGATGACGACAGTATCATTCCGCTGTCACGGGTGGGCTAAATGTATTCGGACTCCGCGGTAAGGAAAGTCGAAATGAGTGCATTCCAGCGCCATGAGTAAGCGGACGCCATTTCGATGTCGATCTCAGCGACGGGGAAGTTCCGCGTCGGTTGACACCACCGGCGGCATGTTGGTCCTGATGACGCAAGGGGGGCTGGGCCACATCGGGCTGCTTCTTCCCCGGTTCCGGCGCCCGCCCCCGTCCCCCTCTGTAGCCACGTCATGATGACGCAGGCGGACCGGACCGGATCCGGCTGGTGTCCAGCTGCACTTGTCGTGGTTCCGGCACGGCCCCAATGACTCTGTCCGAATAGCTCATCGTCCTTCGTTTGAAACGGCTGGACCAGGCCGCCATTTTTCGGCTTTGTTTTATCTGCGGACACTGTCACACGCGCGTGCTTGTGTTTGTGCCCATGTGGAACGCCCAGTATGTCATTGACGTAGAGTCGTTCACTGCGAAGCACGCTGTCTCGGAGAGGTCTGGCTGACCAGTGTCGGGCAACCATTCTCAGGCCGTGGCGTCTCTTGTGAAACGTGGCCCACGCTCTAATGACGCGTTCGGGCGGGCCGTGGCAAGGGTTGTGCTTTCTCATGATCCGAATCCGGATGGCGCAGCTTGCCACGTACATTCGTGAACAAAGCAGATCTGACAGTGGTGCTGATGAGCCGTTGACCGCTGTTTTCAACCGAGTGTCTGTCACCGTAAGAAGAGTGTGGCGTTTCGCCTGGCGCCGCGTGCTGAGCGTGTTCCGTCCTCGTTCTCAGGTGCAGACGTCGAGGCGCACCGGCGCAGCTCTGCCGGCGTGTTTGGCGATTCCAACGTCCTACGCAAGGTGGCCAGCCTCACGCACACGGCCAGTGGTCAGAAGGTCGTCCGACCGCGCTACCTGCCGGAGAAACTCGACTTTAAACACTACGAGAAGTTTGAAGGTGGGTTGGCGCGGCGGCCGCGTCCCTTCTTGCTGACGGTTGCCACACAGCCGTTGCTCTGTGGCCGTGGCGGAGTGAGTTGCTGGGGCCCAGCAGCACGTACATCAGGGCGTGGCGTGACCTGATGACCGTCCCCGACGTCCTTCGATTAGGAGGGGCGTCCTGTTGGGGCCCAGCAGCACGTGCGTCAGGGCGTGGCGTGACCTGATGACCGCCCCCGACGTCCCTCGATCAGGAGGGGCGTGCTGTTGGGGCCCAGCAGCACGTGCGTGAGGGCGTGGCGTGACCTGATGACCACCCCCAACGTCCTTCGATCAGGGTGTGTGTGCTGTTGGGGCCCAGCAGCACGTGCGTGAGAGCGTGGCATGACCTAACGACCACCCCCGACGTCCTTCGATCAGGAGGGGTGTGCTGTTGGGGCCCAGCAGCACGTGCGTGAGGGCGTGGCGTGACCTGATGACCACCCCCGACGTCCTTCGATCAAGCCCCGAGACAGACCTGCAATGGTTCAGTGCGCTTTTGCCGGTGTGAGGATTTCTAACCGAATTATTCCGATTTGACTGTTGTACTGATTTTTTTCCGTAAGGTATGCTTGTATTGCGTGATGTAGATCATGGTGCCTGTGGTGTCATAACATTGTCGTACAGCCATCCAATTATTCTGGGTTTTGTAGCGATGTGAAGCCACAAATCCATTGTTGGTATGTGGAACACATTTGAAAAACTCTTACAAGCTTGCCAATATGTATCGTACGAAAACCACCTTTCCCTTGTAGTGCTTACAGCCGTGCTGTTGTCCAACACACATGATAACGACTTTTTGGCTGGGCAGAGCCACGTCAGGGTCCCCACCACGGGTCCAAACCATGCACTAGATTGTAGTCTAACAAACGCGAAGCACACTAAGGTATATGCCATTAAATGTACGTTTTATATACGTTTTCGTACATACATTTAGAAAGTATGCAGTAGGGCGTATATTTATTATGCCCCGATACTGCATGCTTAAGTTTTTGACAATCTTTTTCATGCATTTGCCATAGGTATGATGTTTGATTCCAGAAAGTGTGATACTTGTTTGCATCTTTCTATTCTCATTAGATAGCGCTGGCGCTAATAATGCATTTATCCCTAGAACTCATTCTGGCGGGCCCTTTTTTACTGCGAGGGAGTACGCAGCAAGGTTTTAAAGACTCCTGCCTGCTTTGAACGCTGCATATAATTAGTTTGAAATGGTTATGAAAGCCTCGTCCCTCCGATTGATAGAAAATCGCATGCCTGAAAGGCAAAGGACAGTGTACCGAAATGTCAGCGACGCCGTGCAAAGGCATTCTTTTGTTGAATATGCAAAATATTTGCTGTCATCTGGATCTGAGTATGAGCCAGCGTCTGCCACCTCGTGTCTGATAGAGTTGCGTGTCCTGGTCCTCGAACCATTGGCTGATGAAATACGAGCACCATACATCGTCGAAAACGATCGGTGTTTTGGTCGGTGTTTGGAAACCTGCAATGGATATCAGAAAACGATCGAGGGCGGTGAAATAAAAGACACGGCACGTTGGCATGCTATTTGCTTTTCTCAAAAAGTGTTAAAGCATCATAATTTTGCGACAGAAAGCTTGAGTCCACACGTTATGCCTCCTATGACGTCATGTGGACTGCATTCAAACTGGCTGCTTGCCTGCATGGGACACGGTTAGCGACCGTGCCGCATCGAACTCTCCGTACCTGTGACGGCACCGCCCCGTTCAAGGCCCGGAGAAAACTTGTCTAATGGCAGTCGCTGCTGTGAACGGGATGGTGACTTGTTACTCGACGCTATCAGCGGGGTAGGTCAAGGAACTGCTCTGAACCGACCATCTCTGGATGGTGACTTGTTACTCGACGCTATCAGCGGGGTAGGTTAAGGAACTGCTCTGAACCGACCATCTCTGGATGGTGGCTTGTTACTCGACGCTATCAGCGGGGTAGGTCAAGGAACTGCTCTGAACCGACCATCTCTGGATGGTGACCGGTTACTCGACACTGTCGGCGGGGGTAGGTCAAGGAACTGCTCCGTACCGACCGTCTCTGGATGGTGACCTGTTACTCGACACTGTCTGCGGGGGTAGGTCAAGGAACTGCTCTGAGCCGACCGTCTCTGGATGGTGACCTGTTACTCGACACTGTCGGTGGGGTATGTCAAGGAACTGCTCCGTACCGACCGTCTCTGGATGGTGACCTGTTACTCGACACTGTTTGCGGGGGTAGGTCAAGGAACTGCTCTGAGCCGACCGTCTCTGGATGGTGACCGGTTACTCGACACTGTCTGCGGGGTAGGTCAAGGAACTGCTCTGAGCCGACCGTCTCTGGATGGTGACCGGTTACTCGACACTGTCTGCGGGGTAGGTCAAGGAACTGCTCTGAGCCGACCGTCTCTGGATGGTGACCTGTTACTCGACACTGTCTGCGGGGTAGGTCAAGGAACTGCTCCGTACCGACCGTCTCTGGATGGTGACCTGTTACTCGACACTGTCAGCGGGGTAGGTCAAGGAACTGCTCCGTACCGACCGTCTCTGGATGGTGACCGGTTACTCGACACTGTCTGCGGGGTAGGTCAAGGAACTGCTCTGAGCCGACCGTCTCTGGATGGTGACCGGTTACTCGACACTGTCAGCGGGGTAGGTCAAGGAACTGCTCCGTACCGACCGTCTCTGGATGGTGACCTGTTACTCGACGCTATCAGCGGGGTAGGTCAAGGAACTGCTCTGAACCGACCGTCTCTGGATGGTGACCGGTTACTCGACACTGTCTGCGGGGTAGGTCAAGGAACTGCTCTGAGCCGACCGTCTCTGGATGGTGACCTGTTACTCGACACTGTCAGCGAGGTAGGTCAAGCCACCGCGCCCCAGTTTGAGATGGAGCGTCATGGGCCATGCTACTGAACTGCCCCTAACAAACGCTCACTGCTGCTTTACCGAGATGTTTCCGCGCAGCGGTGCTACCATCTGTAAGCTCATTTTTTTTTGCGTCCTTTCAGCGTCACCAGCTAATGCTATTTCGAACAAGTTAGCCCCAACATTCACCAAAGTGACAGCTGTCATTTCGCGGACAGTGATTGCGGACTAGTAGCCACGGCTAGGGCGTAATGTGAAGTAGTACCTGCGGCTAGGGAGTAACTTGGAGGGATAGTCACGGTCAGGAAGTAACTCGTCCAATTAACAACTCTGTCTTTCATTGGCGGAAACGATTGGGTCTGATTTGCCAAAAATGTGACGTTTTTATTTTGCTTTGCACGGCAGCATAGGTAACGGGTTAGAAGCATGGCAGGTCTGTTTTTCAGTCTGGTCAGTGACGGCTGACAAACAGCGCGCAGCGACTACTGCCACGAAGGGGTCACCTTGATCATGCACGAATGGCGAAATTCACATGCTCTGGTGTAATGCACGCCTCTTTCAGAAAAAAGTTTACCCACCCGTCATCAATGCCGTCTGGAATAACTGCCTTAACCTGAACACATTAATATAGCGTGACAGGATCAGGAATGTAGCGTGATGATCTAGAGAACTGTTGAATACCTGTTGGCAGGTAGTTGTTGAAAGGTTTGGTGTTATGAAACACTCTGCATCAGAGGCGTGCCGTTGGACGCAACGCTGAAGATGCACGGGGGCATAATCGCCAAATGAGTTGGAGAAAAGGGCTCAATAGCGAAAAATAGACTTCTGCACCAAACATACGCCAGGAAACGGATTTATCCCTGAACGTGAGCGACTCACTTCTCAAAATGTGTGTGTGTGTGGGGGGGGGGGGGGCTGACTTCCTCTCCCTCGGTAGAATAGGAAGCTACAGTCCTGCTGGTTGCACTTTCCTGTTTCGATCCGACGGTAGTGACATCTGCACAATGATAGGTAGGTGGCGCTAGTCTCTTACCTGGATGATAGAACAACCGGCTTGGAGAGAACCATTCCAAAGACATGCAATTCGAATTCGTTAATCAATACATACGTTATCTTGGGCGTTTTGAATCGCGTACAGACGATATTTCATGTAAAATGCACATTTTCGTTATGTTCCCGCGAAAGACGACACGCTGTTGTTACGCAAGCTTCGGGGTCTGCTTCCGGATTATTTTTTTCAGGCGGTTGATTAACACACGTCCTATACATCACCAGACGAAGCGTCTGCAGACGGGCCTGGAAAATTGTGTAGAATATTAAGCATCTTTTTGACTTATAGCACGAAAATAATCCCGAAAGCATACAGTTTACTAAATTATTCTACTTTGGTGAGTTTTGGTAATGGAACATCATTATATTGTTTCAGTTATTGCGCAAATTATCCTAATGCAAAGAAAGACAGACGAACAATGCTGTGTATTATAAAGGTGAAAAGAAAACCGGGGTTAAGTAGTCTACAAGGTATGCATGCAAACGTTACTGTCCAGGCTGCAAGCTGACACAATCTATCGAGATGATCACTAAACCAGGTAAGGTATGAATAGCACCAATTCCACCCCGCTATGTAGTGCATAGAAAACGATCTATTTGTGTTTCCGTGCCACATTCGGGAGAATGCCCCGCACTGTCTGTCAATGAATTAGAATGTTTCGACACCCGGGAGAGATGCACCTTTGGGCGGGAGAGATACACCTTTAAGTGACGTCGCGGGTGCCCTTTCACCATGTTAGTCGTTACACGACAGATGTGTTATTGTCACATTCGAATGCGATAGCCTGATGAGGCAAAGCCTTTTCGTGACCCTGTTTTAGCTGTAGGCCTGCCGTGTTTCAGCAGGCTTTTTGTGTTGATGACCTCTAGCTTAGCTCACCCACTTGCGTGAGTTTGCCAGGCGGTTGGGTGCGCTTATTCTGTTGAAGGTTCTGGTTGCATTTTGACGATATTATTCCCACGAATAGGGATAGTTGGACTCCCTGTAGCCTGATGAGCCTTATTGCTGCGGCATGACCAGAACTCCCAACGTGTCTGCACCAGCTGGATTGTTCTAGGACTCCACTGAAAGTGT